TTCTTTCTTTCTTTCTTTCTTTCTTTCTTTCTTTCTTTCTTTCTTTCTTTCTTTCTTTCTTTCTTTCTTCCCTCCCTCCCTCCCTCCCTCCTTCCTTTCTTTCTCTCTTTCTCTCTTCCCTCCCTCCCTCCCTTCCTCTCTCTCTCTTTGATATTACATTAAAATTTTTTATGTAGTGTGCATGTGATATACATGCACACATACATACGTGCCGTGGTACATAGGTGAGAGGCAGAGGACAACTTGTGGGAGTCAGTTTTCTCTTTCTATTGTGTGGGTCCTGGGGCTCCAACTCAGATCATCAGGCTTGGTGGCAAGCACTTTTCCCAACAGAGTCTTCTTGCTGGTCCTGTACTGAGTTCTAATTTAGCCAGGGTGAGTTCCTGTCACACAAAAAAACTAAACAAGAAGTCAAGGTCTTTGCACAGGCAGAGGGTAGAAGGGAGTGTTAGAATTAAAAGGCCAAGGTGGGTTTCAGGGAGAATAGCCCTGTGCCCCCTCTAGCCAAAGCCCAAGGGGTCACAGTTTCCAGGAAGCTGGTTCAAGGCAAAGCCAGGTGAGGGAAGAGCAGGGTCAGGGCTCCGCTTGTGTCCTGCCTGCACCTTCCACTCCCGTTTGGCTCTTTCCTGGAAAGCGGCCGCCCTCTTGTTTATTCTTCTAGCAGTTTCCCACCCCACTTGGCCAGTGGGATGGGAGGAGGACAGTGTCCAGGGCTTCTGGGGAGCCACATTTACGCCCTGACTTTTACAGTGTGCCTTGCGGAGTGTCATTTGTACCCCCCTGGGTCCATCGTCCTGAGTTTCCATCGTCACTTCCAGCCCCTCCTCTAAGTCGTAGAATCTTCTAGTACTTTTTCCTTGGGGGTCAGGCCAGGAATCTAGCCAAGGGGTGGGGCCACCTGCTTGGCGGGCTGGCCTCCCATCCGACCCCACTCTGTCCCAGGAGAGGCTCCCCTCTCCCTGCCCCCAGCAGCTGCTTACAGGGCCCAGGCTGAGAGCCCAGCTTGGCGCGTCTCTGGCTGAGTCCGATGAGAGAAAACAGGTTAAAAGTTCAGCCCTTGTTCTCTCCAGGAAGAAGAATCTGTAGCATTCGAGTGTGAAAAGGAACCTTCTTTCAGCTCCAGAGCTACACAATGGAACTTCCCCCCAATTTGCCATCAAAAGGATGCCCTTGGCACTGGCTCCCACTGTCCCTGGCACCCTCCCCCCCCCATGGCCCCCTCTCAAGCGCAAGAGGACACAGTGACCACAAACTCGAGCCCCAGGCGGTCATGAGGCTCTTCTGCTGCCTCTCTTGTCAGCTCAGAGGTCTGGCTGGGGTCACCTCCGCCCAGACACTCCTCCCTTTTCCCACCCTCTATCGCCACCGCCCTGCCGTAGTTCACACCCTCATGGCTTCCCATTTGGACCTTCTCTGCAGCCTGGACACTCCTGGCCCTGGTGCATCTAGCACAGACCAAATGACTAGTTGTATCAAGTGCCTGGAAATGTAGATGGTAGGAGGCAAGACACCTGTGTGCCCCAGTCCTTCACCAGCTCTTGAACTGTCTCCCACTGCTCCAGATGCCCCCTTCCCAAAGTAAGGCTACTAGGCAAGACCAGGCAAGCACCTCAAATGGTCTGTTTTTCATTTCCGGGAACTCTATGGAGGAAGTGATTAGTGGCCACAGAGTGTAGAGATTGATTATTGATGCCTGCAGGGGATACAGAGATGGGCATGTAATGGCGGTACTGAATAATGATGCCTGAACTGGGCCCAACATTGGAGTAGGGTAGTATGTCTCCTACGGTAGGTGGTGTGGAGCTGTGAGCATCTCTCTATCTCTCTGCCAATTCCCTCATAGTCATTTATATTCATACTCATCTCCATCTCCAGTCTGCTCCATAGTAGGGTGTTTTTTTTAAAAAAATAAGTATTTTATTATGAGTATGTGTGTATATATGCACATGCATGATGGGGCTAATCCATGACCCTACGGGCATGTTAGAGGGCGATTCTGTGGCATTGGCTCTCTGCTTCCACCGTTTTGGGGTCCTAGAGATTGAACTCCCTTCATTTAACAAGCGCCTTTACCTGCGGAACCAGCCATCTCACTGGCCTCCTGCAGCTGAGTCGTCGTTTTCTCTCTTGCAGTACCCAGGCCAGTGCCTGGTGTGTAATGGACGTTGAAATGTGTTTGTTGAATGAATGCTTGAAAGCATCTGTGTAAATCCGTTCAAGATGTGACAGTTCAGTTCAGTTTCGACAGCCCTTGGTAGGAAAGGACTAGAAGGGAAGGATACTGACTCTGATCTGCAAGGGCCCGTGGATCTCCTTCACTTTAAGCTGTGTGGCTTTTCCCCCATCAGCTCCTGGTTCTGACACTGGTTTGAGTCTCCGGGACCCCATAGAGCAAGTGGCAAGCACGCACGCTCTGAAGTCTGTTCTTAACTCCCCTCTTCAGGGCTCCATCCTGGGGTGGAGTTGGCTGGACACGGGAGGAGGGACTCCAGGATGAGACATGGTGTAAGGGATGATGACTGGAGAAGAGGGAGGGTACCTGTCCTGAGGGACCTCCTCCAAGGCTGTCATTCCAGTGTCTGGGAATTTGATACAGACTGAAAAGCAAATAGATACTTGAATTTTGATGTAAAATTTTGAGGAATTGGTGGTGGATCCTCTGAAACACCTAAGATTAATCCTAGATTAAGATCCTCCACCAGTCCATGTGGTGGTGGCTCATGCTTTTCATCCCAGCACTTGGGTGGTAGAGGCAGGTGATCTCTGAGTTCGAGGCCAGCCTGGTCTACAGAGCAAGTTCCAGGACAGCCGGGGCTACACAGAGAAACTCTAAGTAGAAAAAAAACAAACAACACTCCCCCTGAAAAAGACCCTCCACCAGGAAAGGAGGGGCAAGATAGTGAGATGTGGTTAGCTGGGGGATAGGGATGACCACAGAGAGAGGGGTATAATGGAAAAATGGACTCTAGCAGTCGGCTAGGCTTTTGAGTAAGGGGGAATGTGAAGCTTGAGGCTGGATCTATAGGACAAGTGGTCTGGAGGACTGGAGGATGTGCTGTAAGGAAGAACCTGGAGGGGTGGGATCCCAGGGTCAGCAGAGTAACTGCCAGCACTGGGAAGTGGGGCGGGCGGTGACTCTTTGCTCTTCCCACAGAAACACTGATGGATTCTACCACGGCGACGGCTGAGCTGGGCTGGATGGTGCATCCCCCATCAGGGGTGAGTTCTGGTCCCTCAAACCCTGCTTGGCTGGCTCCCAGCATGCCTCAGAGTCTACTGATGCCTCACACATCCCCTCACATCCCAGCCCCTTTCCTCTCTTAAGGGCCGAGCCTCTCACATCTCACCCTCCCCATCCCACCCACCCTTGATTGAGTACCCGTTCCCATGACAACATGTGGACACTTTGGCCTTTATCCCATAGAATTCCCCAGGGGAGGCTGAGACGTAGGTACTCACACGGTGCCCATTTCAGGAGAGGGAAGTATATGGTTCTGTTCTGGGCCAGAGACCACACCAGGGACCTTTTACATGCCGTCTCCAATACAGAAACTCCGAGATATAGCCACCTGCCAGGGCCTGACAGCTTCTAATGAAGGGGTTCAGGGTTGTTTGAGTGTGGTTCAGTTTTTGGTGCTTGGGGATCAGACCCAGGACCTCATACAAATATTCTACCACTGAGCTGTACCCCACCTGGGGCTCAGGTTTCTATCAGGGACCAACTCCTCACCACCCCAACTCTGAATCTCCATAGTACAAGGATCCCCTGAGTGCACATCCCTGGCTTCTTTTATGTTTGTTTTGAGAAAGGGTCTCGTGTGTCACAGGCTAGCTGCAAACTCGCTGTGTCACTAAGGATAACATTGACCTGCTCTTTCTGCCGCTACTTCCTGGATGTTGTGATTACAGGTGTGCACCACCAGAATCGGTTCCGTTCTGTGCTAGGGACGGAACCCAGGGTGGTGTGCATGCTAGGCAAGCACTCTAGCAGCTGAGCTACATACATCCCCAGCCCTTCCCCGAGTTCTTATCGCATCCCCTGGATAGGGTCTGAGCCCGTGTCTGCCCCCAGTATCCTGAGAGAAAGACAAGAATGGGCCTTCCTGTCTCTCCCTAGCATTGTCCCAGTTCCACCTGTCAGCTGGGACCGTGGGTAGCCTCTTTGCGTTTCTGACTCTGGTTTCTTTACCTGTGAAACAGAGGTCTTCCCCACTGTTACGAAGGTTTCCCTCAGAGTATGACACAGAGGTTATCACGGGCTGGCCCCCAATAGAGAGCAGCTATAATCATCATCATCATCATCACCACCACCACCGTCAGTTTTAGCATTCATTCTCCCGGGGTCTCTGGGGAGGCCCTGGACTCTACAGCCCATCCCCCCTTCCCACTCCAGTCTTCCAAGGGGACTCAGCTGCAGCCCTAGGGATCCATACCCACCCCCCTCAGGCCTCGCTCTCAATAGGCAGGGCCCCAGGGTCAGGCTTCTTTCTGTGGCTCTTTCTTGTCACCAATTTTCCATCTGCGAAAACTGCTGGGCCCACGGCCCCACCCTGCCAGTAATGAGGCCAGGCTGGGCTGCAGGGCCCCCGGACGCAATTATTTGGGGTGTTTGGGCTGCAGGGCCTCCGCATGTTAATTAGAGAGAGGGGAGAAAGGCAGAGCGTTCTAATTAAGTGCTCTAATTAAGTTCTGAGGAAGAGCAGCGGTTGTAACAAGGGGCTGACTTTGTCACATGGTGCCACCAAAAGGAAAAAAAAAATTAAATGTGATGTAGGGAGCTTCAGAGTCGCCATTGAGGTAGAGGCTGGGCCAGCGCGCTCTGGCTCTGGCTTTCCAATGGACATGCACCTTTCACAGCATGTGGCTCCCTCCAAGTCCTACACAGCATGGTCCTGAAAGAACAGTGGCTGACATCTCCACGATCACCCGCCATCCCCATGGTCCCATTTAGCAAATGCGGAAATCAAGGCCCAGGGAGTGGAAAGGAATTGCCCAAGATCATGCAGCATGTTAACGGTGCTTATTCTGAGGCAATATGGATAAGCCTGGGGACGGGACCAAGACTCTGTGACTTAAGTCAAATGGCCTCACCTGTCTGGTCTCATCTCCCTCTTCTGTGAAATGGAGCTCACATGCCATGTGTGAGAATCACGACAAAGCATGAAACACTGTGAAGGCATTAGCCTCAGGCCTGACGTGGGTGGGGGGACCAGCCCCACCCCGGGGGTTGGGGAAGCCCAGCAGAAGAGAAGGAACCTGCCCTCGGTCAGCATTCCAATCCACTGGGGAGACCAGAACCAGGAGGCTAAGTGTTCCTTGTCCCCAGGGAGAGTCAGTGAATGCAAACCCAGGAAGCTGTGAACAGGTGCTGTGACAGGCCTGGATGTTTGAGAGCTGGGAACACACAGTGGCAGAGTGTTTGTGGAGCATGCGCAAGGCCTGCGTTCTATCCTCAGCACCACAGGGGAAACAGATTAACAAAGGGCACTGGAGAGAGGCACAGCATTGGACAGAGGCCCAGCCATGGAGGTGATCTCAGCCTGAGTCTGCAGAAGTGACTGGGTCTCACCTCTTTGTATCTGCTCATAGGCAAGCCAGCCCCCACAGCATGGAGACTTAGAGGGTCTTTTTGATTAATGATAGCTCAGGAAGGGACTCAGGGAGGTGTCTGAGCACCTTCTCTTGACAGCGGGGGCCGTTAGCTCCTTCCAGGTACCAGGAGACATCCGTTCCCAGAGGAGATCTTAGCCAGTGCAAGCCCCCAAGGGAAGCTGCTGTCCTGGGGAAGGACCCTGGCTTCCCTGTCACCCTGACCAGTAGGTGTATGGACCATCTTCCTCCATCAGATTGCAAGTCTCCAGAGGGCAAAGACAGCATCTTCCTCACTGACAGGGAGCTCTGGAGGGGGCAGAGGCCCTGTCTCCTCCACAAAACAAGTAGTAGTTGTGTGTACCCCGCCCCC